ATTACCTTGCCGTCACGTTGTCACCCTCTTTTATATACTAGACTACCTTATATCTAGTAAATGCTAGAGCATTCGCCAAAGTACAGGATAGTTCTAGAAAGTAGAAGGCGTGAGAATAGTGACGTGATCTCGATGACGCAACAATATATAAATTTTTGAATTCTGGAAAAGTAATAAAAAGCACTGTCTTTATTCCACTAAGACAGAATTCATACAAAAGACCATATTCGTTATCCCGCAATCTATGTTATTTATATCAGAGATCATTTCCAGTTAAATTTTCAAGAGGCAATTATCTCTCAGTTCCTGCTTACTTGTTCATACTTTTCCGCTACTCCATGTTTTTGGGTGTGATCCACACCTCAAAAACATACAAGGCAGAAACTTGGCCAAGAGAGCACAAATGTCTACTGTAGCATGTAATCTTAGCTTGAGGTGAGGACCAAAGCTAGCTCACAAACAACTATGTGATATATATATAATGACGTTAACTAAATGCATAACACCCGCGCAAACAAATTTCGGTGTATCTGTATCTGAATAAAACTATATTATTATTTTTAGTTACGAAGTGGTAAAATCTGGCGATTTAAACTGCTATACCACCTTTTGCCCTTGATTGCACGTAACAGAAAACATAACGAAACAATGACTACATATATATATGCCCTTGATTTTAGTTAGTCAGCAAGTTTCGGATATTCGCGCAAAGCTAAACAAGGGTTAATAATGGCTTGAATGGGTAATGAAGAAAAACTTTAATATAAGTTTAACATAACAACAAATGCACAACGTTTCGACAAGGTTTTGTCATATCAGGTCATGATAAAACGTTGTGCATTTGCTGTTATGTTAAACTTATATTAAAGTTTTTTTTCATTACCCATTCAAGCCGTCTCCAGCCATTATTAGTCTCAAAGTGGGTTCCTCGTCATCGAATTTAAACAAGAGTTACTTGTACCATCTCTCTAATAATGATACACTAAAAAGAAAGAAACTAGTCAACAACACCCACCAGCAACTCAGGCTGCTAATCGAATAGTGAGTCATTCTGTTTTTAGTAAAACTTACATGTATAAAGAAGAGTAAAATAAAGAAAGAGGGAGAGAAAGAGAGAGAGAGAGAAAAGAAAGAACGAAATTAATCACTGCATGACAGTAATTTTAAAAGAAAACAGTACAGTCTTAAAAGAGGACATTTTGGTGGAGATATCTGCAAAGCAAAATAGGATAAAAATTATTTATATCTAACAGACACACAGTTCACAAGTCTGTTAAATTAGAGGCTGAAGAAGGAAACACAACTGATCCCGAAACTATTCTATTGTTATATCCAAAAATCATCGTCTAATAGATAAAATCAAAACAGTTGGTAAAGATATGATGGTATGTGTGTCTTTTTGCCTTAAGCTATATTTCATCTTAACAGAAATGCAACAATCGCCTTAAGCACAGGTTTAGCATTTAATTAATAATATATCTAAGTAAGAAATGTACTGATATTGCCGTGGAGTTTTTATTTATTCCGTTGATCAGTGATTACTATATTACATAATATTAGTTTATAAAAACACCCAAAACAGAGAAAAATTATCATATCAGTACCACTCGTATGTTTATTGACAAGACGTTGTACTATACTATAGGCCAAGTAACCATGATGTAATGGGTATTTAGAATTTTTGAGAAGCAGATAATTTTAATACTATTATCAAGGATTAAGCGTGTGAAGTCGAGTAATTTTTAATCATATTAGGTAAGTTAATGATAGAGGCTTTTAGTGTACCCAGTAATTTCCGAAATTCCACGTATTTAATTTTCATTTAAATACGTCTAACTTTTAGGTTGGAATGGTAAAACGATTTATTGGAACAAAAACTAAGCCTAACTCCAATTAAGCCTGTGCCTAACAGTGTCTGAGTGAGTAATGGTGATAATGTGAAAACATAGCTATTAACTGTGAGTGTGAGCAGTAGTTGTTTTTAAAGACTTATAACGTAAGTAAATTAATATGTGCAATTATACACGGACTTTTCTCCACGTTAAAATACTTTTATTTGCGAGTTTTCGACAGTTTTAAGTTTTATTAACAGAGCTTTCATAAGTTCATTGGGCAGCAATGTACTGAGTTATAAAAATACGTTTATTCAAATTATTATTGCTCAGTGTAGGAACACTTAAGAAAACTATGGGGATGTTAGTTTATTTATTATTTTATGAAGTTTTTCCCCTAGGGCTTGTTATATAAGGAAGAAATGCTGTTTTCTTTTCATTGTGATTATCAGATGATTAGTAGTAGTTGAGACAGGTGAACCATATAACATACGATGAATCGTTTTCTTTGGATAATTGTTATTCCTGAAAACCTTCTCAAATTGTTTTAAGTTCTTCATCTAAGTAAAATTAGGAGCATATTCTTGTAGCTAGCGCAGATAGCCCTCGTGTAGCTTTGCGTGAAATTCAAAAAAAAAAAAATTCTTGTAGCTTTAGATTTTAATGTTTTAATAATCACAGTTTTGATAGCTATTGTATGACATGAACGAAAATTTAAATATTTGTTTGAGTATCCTTCTGATAAATGGTAATGGTCAACTTTTCTAAACTCGTATCCTTGTGAACCAGAACGTTGAGGAATGGAAGAGTGTTATTGATTTCAAGTTCTATGGGAAATTTTATGCTGTAAAATTAGCTGTTGAAATGAGCATGAAAAGTCCCTAAAATAAACTTATTGTTAGTGTATATTACCAATATTAGAGGTTCATGAAAATATGTTGTTAAAATGGTGTGTTCAAAATGCTGCATGAATATTTCTGCTACTACAAGTAATAAAGGTGAAGCCATTGATGAGTAAGGTTAGATATAGGTAGGTGGGTGTTTGTGACCTGTTAGTGTCCGTATTAATGAGCAGGAACCTGAGAGTATTGAAGCTTTTATTCAGTTTTAGGCTCCCTTGATGAAACAATGACATAATCTTGTTGGTTGTTAATGTAACCCTTCAAATAGTGTAGGGGCTGTCTTTGCTTTTCCATTCACTGCTATGTCAGTGTGATAGAGAATTGACAAAGAATAACATGGTGAAGGGTAAGCAGTATGAGCAGATCTCTGCATAACTGTTTTTCTCCTTTTTTTTAAGCAAGCAGATTTTCTAATTTACAGTGTCCAGTACATATCATTCACTTCTACATTCACTGCAAAAAGAGAATGATACTTGGTATTAGCAACTAACCTGTTAACATGCTCTATAACGTCCTCTATGTTAGCACCTGACAATTCAGTCTTATGCTCTCCTTTGCAAATAGAACTTTATCAGTAAGTCAGTAAACATATGAGAATTTTCCACTTAGCATGTTCAACTGTGACTCATTTCCTTCCTCACTGCAAGCAGACAAAGGTTCAAATTCTGTTGAAGACTAGTACTTCAGTGCTAACTGGACTTCTGTAGCTTCAATGTTTTTCTAGTATGTACTGTTAATAAATTTAGCACTTTATTTCTCACCCTTTCTCGAAGCAACCTTTACCTTAACGATCCTTTTCATGTTTTGATTCCTTATTTCTGTTATTTTTCTTGTCTAATAGGACAGTATTCTCCAAAGCTAGCAGTAGTTTACTCTGAAACATTAAAGTGTAGTGTGTTGTACCTTTTTGAGCCTTTTGAAAGTCTAATCAAGATCACAATTCTCAAACCTTTATAAATTCCACCCCACTAACCTTGAACTACCTCTAACCGTATTGAAGTTATGCTAATGATAGCCTTAGTTTATTTGTAAATTTATCTAAAATTACATTATTTCACAGTTTATACATGAGATTGTGGATGAATATAACAAGAAAATCATATATTAATTATTACTGGTACCATTATCTTCTAATATTGCATCTGCAGTCCACATATGTACACACATACTTACACTTAACTAATTGTTAATTCCAAATAATCTAAAAAATATTAGCAGCTACTAAATAATAGTGAAACAGTAATTCTTACTCTTTGATTTAAATAAATTATTTTTCCTGTATAGCTAACACCTGTATTATTTCAGTATAATAACCTGTGTCATAAACTAACACAAGTACAGAAAATCAATTCTTAAAACAAACATTATAGGTAGGCCTTATGGGCTAGGTACCTAAGGTCACAGCTTTAGATTTAGCAGTAATAAAACCTAAACAATTTTCAAAAAAAACTTACCTGATTACAATAAATTAATAATTTTAAACTTTAAATAGTAGGAAAAATAACATGTTAGTTATCAGAAAAAGCTTATATTTTACAAATAAAAGTGTTTGGAAATTCTCTGTCATAGAATTTAAAAAGTTTCCATCCACTATTCAACATATTTCTCTGTCCACTCTGATATTTGGTAAATGACCTTAATTGTAGTGAATGGAAGGAGTTGCATTTGCAGTTCTTGAAAGTAGCTATGGCATACGGCAAAGCCATTGGAAAAGCTATGGCATTTTACGAAAAACATGAAGTATGACGGTCAAAAAATGCTGTTACAAGAAAAAATTCTTAATTGTTTTCCTTTAATTTCTTAATTTTTTCTTTCAATAGCATCAAAGATTATAATTTTATACAGAGATAAAAACAATATAAAACTGCTGATAAATTACTAAATTTTTAATGATACAATCACCTCGCAGTGCCTAATATCAAATTTCAGTTAAAGTGAATTTGTAGATTCTGTAACAAACCAAGGCAAATGTCAAATTTGTAAAAGTTTGTACTATTGTTTTAAATGTATAGGTCTGTCCAGCAATTTTTAAGTGATTCTCTAAAGTGCTGCTGTTCGTTCATGAATGATCATTGCATTATTTAGTATTAAGTACTACCTCACAGAGAGTAAACAGAGAAGATAAGCTCAATTTTATGTTAGTTGAAAGAATGAAGAACATCAGTGTTTCAAAAAATTGTATAGAGAATTTCATTATATTTTGCTAGCATTAAACAAAAGATTCATTTTGATTTTGACTTGTTGGGGAAGTTGAATTTCATAGTGGTGAAACTTGGAAAGCTGTCTTTAATTTTATGATTTTGCTAAAAATATTTAACCAGTACAAAAACCTATTGTAGGTTTTTAATTGTTTTTCTTTGTGAGGACACTTGCCTGGTATTATACTTGTGTACCAAATGTTTTTATGTGGAAGAATATCTTCAGGAAAAAAACAACAACAGAATTTTGTCCTGGTTAATGCACTTATAGCATCATTTTTTTGCCATGGGCTTTTTGTCCTAATTTGAAAGACTGAGTGTGTAACTATGTATTTCCAAACAATTTGCTGCTTAGTTTTCCAAGTATTTAAAGCTGAAACTAATTTAAAGAGATATGGTCAGTATGCCACACAACACAAAGAGCATGCCATAGACCTTTTGAGTAACACTATAGTTGTTGGGTTTTACTGGTACTTTTCTAACATGAGCTTAACTTCTATTTTTCTAAGTTGGATTTGAGATGACATTATGCTCTGTATTCTTGAAAATTATTTTTTTCCTGGCTGATTCATGTAGTAAACTATCTATTTATACATTTGTTTTTGGACAAAAAAAATTAATATTTCAAATTGAGTAAGTACAACTAGCTGAAATCATTGCCTAATGAGTGTGTTGAAAGGAAATGGGAAATCACCAAAACTACCCACAAAATTCAACACATATAGTAAACTACTACAATTTTGGTGTCATAGTACAGTTATTTCTGAAAAGGCATTACATGTATAATCCTCTTCTGACAGTGTATTGAAAAAGTTTGACAAGTAGTAAAGAAGAAATATTTGTAAGGAAACGGAAATATAACTGAGACCAATATTTTAATTTTATTGGAGCTTTATATTTTCTGAGTTTAAGAATTGTAGAAGTTAGATCTATCTGTGAAGCCAGAGTATCAAAAATATATGATTAGTAGTCTTTTTTAGTCCAGTTTTTCAATTTAAAAATTTTATAATTTTCTATAACAGTTGTTGATAATTTGCTCAAAAACTTGTGTATATATAGTTGTTATTGTTTTGAGTTTTTGTCTTTTGTTGTTGTACAATTTAAAAGTATTGTTGTTATAATGGAGTTATATTTTGCAGTTTTTCCAAAGAGAGAATGGTTGGAAGACGACAAAATTCACAATCAGGGAAAGGGAGATGTCGCAGAACACGAGGAGGTGTTAGAAAGAGGAAAAATCAAACTGTTTGTACCAGATCTTCGTCAAAAAAAACAGAGAAATTTTCAGTATCAGATGATGTTTTTATTATTCTTTCAGATATAGATGAAACTGAAAACCTTAGTGAACAACCAGACAGTGAATTATCTTACATAATTACTGACACACTGTCTGATGAACACAGTAATGAATTACCTGGCTTAGCTTTGGAAGGTGATGGTAATGAGCCTTTACATGATACTTCTGTTTTCAATTCTGGGGATAATGTGATAATGGAAAGTACCCATGCAAATGAAAATAAAATAGATGGTAGAAAACCAAATGAAATTAGAACACATACAGTCATGAATATGCAAATTTCAGATGTTGCAGTGATTGATCATATTCCTACAGTGAGAGAGAATTTTTCTGCAGTTCAGTCTGAGGGCAAAAATGAGCTAGAAAAGGAGGCTTCTCAAGTTAAATTGAATTCAAGCATGGAATCTGCATCAACTTCTGTAGCAATTTTGTGTGACACAATTAATCCAGATTTAGTTGGAGAAAATTGTAATAAGTTAATAACAACAAAAAGAGCAGAAATAACAGTGATGGCAGATCTTGAAAATTTTTCAGAACAAACAGATTTAAAAAGGAAGTTATTAGTGCCAGATAGTGTGATTAAAAGTGACTTGACTGATCAGAAGGAAAATCAAGATAAGTCTAACCTAGGAAAATGCTATGTTGAACTACCTACTAATCTAGGGTTTTCTGAAGACAGTTCTAAAGAAAAATTAGATGACAAGGATAAAGATGTTAACAAAATAAAAGAAAAATGGAAAGATGAAATGCTTGCAAAATCTAATGATGAAAATCCAGATGGCATGAAAATTAGAAGTGAAACTGATACTAAAGGTGAAAGTGATAACATGACTACTGATGATGGATTGCTCAAGAGAATGTTGAACCACATGATAAAGAGGAGACTAAACAGTGGGGTGAAGATTTGGAGGAATTAATTGGAAAGGATTGGCAAGTAGTAGATTTTGATGACAGTAATGAAGAAACTCTTGAACATACAGATTTACAGTCAAAAGAGGTAAAATACTGCTAGTTTAGATTACTGAAATATTTATACATGTGTAAAATTTGGAACTAATACTTCTATAGTTGAAGTTATGTTTAAACATTAAGGTTGTATATAAATGTTTTAAAAGTAAATGTATATTATTTCTTGTCAAACCCTAAATTATAAAATGCTTGGTTATGGAAGAACATTTAGGTATTGTTTAATTCAGCAAATGTGAAAAATACTACCATGTTATTGTTAAATGCTTGGTAAAAAAGTTTAAATGAATTAAAAAAAAAATTCATATTACTTAATGTTGATTATGGGGATATCTTAGCACTGAATTTTATGTTGAGGCTGGTAAATAGTCTCTTTGTAAGTGGAAGCATGATTATGATTATTTATATTCATTAGAAGACATTATATTAGGTTTATTATATTTTTTAACACAACGTTTTTAATCTAGTCCCTTAGGGATTTAGAATTTAAACCACACTGTATTTGTTGTATCCATTTCTGATGACATGTTACATTCAATCTAGAGCTTTTCAGGCTGCATTGGATAAAATGAACATAGTAGTGTTTGGAACACTATTATATAAGGCATTTACTACAACAATTGTTGTGGTATGAATACCTTTTACAGGCTGGTGAAGCATTGAGCAAAATGCGTTGTTGGCAATGGATATGAAAAATATAGTTTGCTTGAAATACTATTATTGTATGCTCTTCTAATTCTTGAAAATCCCTGAAGGAATAGATTAAGAATGTAGTGTTAATTAATATAATAGGCTTAATATAGTGTCTTATGACAACTTTAATTAATTATAATCATGATTTGCCAGCTTGTGAAAGGTGTTTACACAATAACAATTGTTGTTGTAGCAAATGGTTATATAAATGGTGGTGTGATCACTACTGTGTTCATTGTATCCCAGCTGGCTCAAAGAGTTCTAGATTAAACAAAACGTGTTGTAGGCAATGAATATGATTAATATATTGTAGTTGAAACACTATTATTGTTCACTTTTCTAATTCTTGAAAATCCATATGTGACAAGATTAATAGTGTAGTGTTAAGAAATATAAAAGGCCTAATTTAATGTCTTATGACAAGTATAATTAATTATAATCATGCTTCTCCATCTTATAACAGGCATTCATGCCATAATAATTGTCTGTGGAACTGTGGAACAAGCTTGTTTAAAGTACATTTACATATTTTGTGCAAGTAGAAAAACTTATTTGTAGTCAAACAAAAACCTCTACCATTACCATAATCAATGTTGCTGATGGATCTTTTACTGCTGAAGAGCTTGATATTTTATTTTAAAGTATATAGGTAATTGGCTTAAATGTACATTGTAAGTAATAAAATAAAGATTGTTTTATTATAGAAGCCAAAGTGGAAAGAATATAAAGAAACAAAGCTTAGTGGTAAGTTCAGTTTTAATATATATTTGTAAATGTGTTAAATTTGATTGTTATTTTATGAAAGTATATTTAATTTTTAAGTGCAGTTGCAATATTGAATATGCAGTTTATCAGTTGTTACTCAAGACATTGTATGTTCATAATTGTGTGCTTTTTGAATAGTAGTTTTATAGATTTATTGAGTGTGTTGCATATTCTGTAACATATGTTTTCTAATTATTTAGGATTATAGGCAAAACTAGATTCAGGAATTTTGTAAACACTATAAGAATATAAGTATAATTTTTGAGGAAATACTATGTAAAACTTATTCATTATTAAAATATTATCAATCACCAGACTGTCTTTTAGCATGAGCTCTGCTGTGCAAAATCTCATTAATAAATGATGTAGTGCCAACTGATTTAGACAGTTTTGATTTGAATTATGTTTATTTTGTAAATATAGGTGGTGTTTTTAGTTATATATATAAAACGTAATCTGGAAGAGAGTGTATAAAAATGATCTAACCTGATATTTTTGTGTATTGACGAAAAGTATTTCTTTATATTCTGACCCATAGTTATATGATGCATGGTGATTTTGAAATATATGTAAATTGAAAGCTTTTCTAGATTTGTAGATGTAAGGCAAAAAAAAGATTTCAGTAAAGCTTAGGTTGACTTGCCAACTTGTTTCCAAAACAGTGACATCAAAAATTAAAAAATCAAGACTCTTATTTAATCTAAAAAAACCTAAGAACTTGTTTGTTACAAAACTCTTGTGTCAAGTGTTGATCATTCTCCACAGTAGTGGACACAGAGTGTTACCAGGAATTAAAACTAAATGAGCCAAATGTTTTTAACATTTTAATTTTCATTCAAATCTTGTGGATATTCTATGTATAAAATTTTACAGCAGTTGTATAAGTGTACTATATCTCATCACTGATATTATTAGTAGAGTTATATAAAAGTATTCTTTGTGCACTTTCTTAAAAGATTTATTTTATTCAAGTAGTTTCAAATCCATCTTCTGTTTACTTAAAAATCATTCTTATTGATAGGTTGTTAGAAATTTTTACATTATATTATCAGGTTTATTTCGTGGACATTCCCACCTGGCAGAGGACTTGAAGAAAATTAAATCACCTTTTGTTGGTAAGTGTGGTACTTTTGCTATACAAAAATAATTGTATATGATATGTAATTATTTCTGATTTAAGTTAAAAAGTTCATAAATAAATTATTAAACAAAAATGGCTAAACAGTATTTGTTGTCTGCTAACATAACTTACATAAACATCAAAAGTAAGTTGTTTTTTGTTTTGTTTTTTCAACACAAAAGTTAGGCCATATTGATTCCATTTCAGTTGCACTGCTATTGTGTGAAATCTTTTAATAGATTTTCAGAACTACTATATTTACATAGGTATGAAAATATTAACATATTAGATATGATGCTGATTGCGGAAGACCAAGTACCCATCAAAACCTGAATGCATTTGTATTTCAACTTGAAGCTAAACAGCATTCCATATGTTTCTTGTGAGTGAATGAGCAATGATATCATGGTTGTCTTGCCATTTTAAGTTAATGAGTTTAATATGGTCATTTGGAGCATTTTTTATTTAATATGTTAAATCCACATTCAAATATTTCCATAATGTTAATTAATAAAACTTGCCAAAGACATGGACTACATTTTTCTGTGACCTTGTTAGAGATTAACAAACTTTTGGGGGTCTTTCACTTGCATACTTTCAATGAGTTTCTTCCTATCTCATGCTGTTGTGATAAATTTGATTAAGTATAGGTCTACACTTAACTAGTTCTATTAATTGGTTTTATTCAGTTAAGTTCTAATTTTTAACCTCTGTTAAAAACTTGTATAGCTGTCTGTCTGTTATAGCTCAATGTTTAGTTTATTCTGTGTTAACTTTTATAGATCAGATATACAAATAGTGTACAACAAGGTAAAAATGTACATCATGAATACATGTACCATTCTGTTTTACTAAAGGTTATAATTTTTTTATCTAATCATTTTGTATTGCATTGAGTTTTTATCTAAGTAACTTATTAATGGTCCTGTTTTTTCTAGACTTTAACCCTTTTGGTGCAGGCAGATTAAAGAGTGCATGTCATGACCTTTTAGAGAGTTATTTTCAAAATTTTATTAAATAACTTTACTATTACTTATATCAATGGAATTGACATCAGATCATAGTTTATGGTTCAAATTTTGGTATTATATATGTTTTAATTTCTTAATTTAACTCTCGAAACTGGCTTGGTCAATTTGACTGACTACGTGACCTCTTTGTACTCGTTTAAAGTCTATAGATTTAATACTTCTAACTTTCAGTATAATGTGTATATCTTCATGAAATTTGGCAGTCTTTCAGTTGACATTGCAAGTCTTCCACATACAAAAAATCATATTTTTAGTGAAGTATTTTTGATAAACTAAAATAAAGATTTGTCCTTGAATATATTGAGTATTTGTTTTGAATAGTCAGTGTGCAAGGTAATTTTCATGTTAAGTTTAAAAATACTTTTCTTCTTCTCAAAAATCTCAAATTCCCTCAAAATCCCTAAAACCTCCTAAATACATTTCAAACGTTTTTTTTTTCAGTAAAACTATATTTTATTTATTTTGTCTACCCTGCTCTACAAGTGATCAATCAATTTGACCAATCTCGTAACCACCAAAAAATAAATTGAAATATATCTAAATTACCCTTTTTTTCTTTCTAGAATGACTTTAAATTGTAACATGAAACTACATTTGTTTATCCTAAGTAGCTTTAAGCTCGTAATGGTATACATCTATTTATAATTAAATGTTATTGTTTTGTTGCCCTTTGAATCATGTCTAACTACTATCTGAGTCGTTATAAGTTGTAAATCACATGGGGAACGTGCAGCTCACGTTACGCTATCGAATTACATTACCCATGAGCTATTACGAGCTGCTTGCGTGTGTGTCTTGTGAAACATTTTTATTATATTATTATTATTATTTATTTTACCTAATCTAATCTTAACCAACCTAAAAAGCTCCCTATTTTTACATTTTAGTTACTTTTATAATAATAAATAAATAAAGAATAAACATGAAAAACAAGAAATAAAGTATTTACCCAATCTTCTTTTTCCTTGCTGTCAATTGTCTACAAGACTTAACCCTATTTTGTTTATACTAATGATAGTAATGCACTAAATAATTTTTATATAATTAAATAATGCACCAAAGAATATAGATTAATAACATGTAAAAAGTAGACAATTTTCCCTAACTCGTACATTTTTCTGGCTTTCTAACTATGCGACAAGAGCTGTTATAAATTCATTCAAGCTAGTTGTTACTGTTCCCATGGGAATGAAAGCTGTACTACAAGTGAAACTGACACCTATCTGTTCAGAACACAATACAATATGTCATTTTATAGATATAAACTTTGGCTTTCTATTGGTAATATATTATTAAATGTAAGAGAGAGCTATTAACAAATCCTGAAAGAGAGGATGTGGCAGGAGGGGTCTGATTTTCTCTTTGATAGCTCTGTAACAAAACAAAATTGAAGGCTGCAATATTTATGGTTTGTCTGAGCAATTATGATTTTATAGTGAGTAATTTGAGTTTAATTTCGTAGTTACTGGAGGGGTGATGGATAAAATAGAGAAGATGGATTATTAGCTGAGTTCTTATGCTATAGTAATTGGTATAACGTAAACAAAAAAGTAGTTTAATTAAATTTTGAATGTAAGACACTAAAACCTTGTGTCTCGCGCAGTAAAGTATACCTGTGGTGAAAGTGTTAAAAGGAAATATACAGAAAAAAAGCTAAATATCAGTTTCTGACATGGTACCTTATTTCTGCTCACATACATAGCTATTCTCATTCAGTGCTGCTGCTCTATTTGCAAAAATTTTTTTCCATGCTACATGCCTTTCACTCCCATGCACCTCTTGATTCACATGGTTTAACTGATTCTCGCATGCAAATTATCATATGACAAACCACCATTAGTAGTTCCACACACCCAGAAGACTTATGACACCCTCTCACTTCTCGTTTGGCAGTGCTTGTGTTCAGATGTTTACTTACTGTTAATCCTATCCATTTTATTCCCCACCTAATTTTTCCAGCTTCGTCTTACCCTATCGACTCTCCTGCAGGAAATGCCTACCTTACACTTCATTTCTTAGGCATTCCACCTATATCTAGGGGATTTTGTGGGATACCTCTTTCTCCTTTCTTCCAAGTTGAAGTGTTTGCCATCTTCAGTTCTTTGGCTTCTTTGCTTTTGTGATCTTCTGGGATGGGACACTGTTTTGTACTGTTTGTTTACCATTCACCTCTAATAGGGACTCGGCCAGCTCTTTTACTCCACTGGTCTGTATTTTTGGGCAATTCCTATGCATTTAGCATCATGTGGGGTATCTGCGATGAAATATTCTATTCTTTTGTTTCATTCTGAGTCATTGCCATCTTTATTCATGTTCCATGTCTAGTACCTTCCTCTCTTTACCTGCCCTACCTACTGGTTTCTCCATTCCTCATGTGTGCTTGATGCTGATTAGAGTTCTGGATAGATTGGTCTTGCCTCAATCACTTGCTGGTTCTTCTCTGTTTTAACATGTAGTCTTTGATCACAGTAAGGTGGGCAATTTCTGCAGGACTGAGAATGCTCATGGTACATGTTCTTATTTTTCATTTCTTCAGACACTATCTTATGTTTTTTCACCATGTGATTCAGTACCAGTTTTGTGCACTGCCCTTCAGACTTGTATCGGCTCTGTCTATCTTTTGTCAGGTAGTCTGCATTTTACCCAACTTCTGGATTTTGGGGGATTTTACTAACACCACTACTTGGATGCCTGACTTCGATTAGCTCCTTCCAAACAGGGGCGGTCATAACATACTCTCCTGCTTCTTACACAAGCAGATCGATTGGTTGGATAAGTTTTTCATGTTATCTAGCAAACAATCTTGGCTATTTGAGTAGTTTCTTTTCAGATATTCACCTCCTCAAATGCATTCATTGGAGCTTTCTGTTAACCATACCATTACGGCTCACTATCTTACTGCGAGTGAGGTTCTAATATATTGGGGGATGTGGCTTCTATGGTAGCACTTCTCTCTTTGGGTCTGGCACATTTGCAATATTTTCTGGAGATTCTACACGACCCATGGTCTCTTGCTATTGTTTCTTTGGATTCTCCTCTTAACTTTTCTCCTTCCCTTCTCGACTATATGTATTGGTGGTTGAACATATTCTCCACATCGTCTGATTTACCAATTTCTTCCCCTCGTCTGGATTTGTTTCTCTTCCCTGATGCTCATCTCCAAAGTTGGGGGGTCATGAGTCAATCAGCAGGAGGCTTCAAGACAATGGTCTATGGACAAAAGGTCTTACCATGTTAGCACCCTGGCACTTCTGGCAATCCAATGTGCTTTAGTTCACTTTCTTCCTCTTGTCCAGATTTGACTAATCATGTTTCATTCTGATTATTCGATGGTGGTTGCTTATATCATTCACCAAGGGGTCACTTGTTCTTGTTCCCTTTGTGGTAGACAGTGGATGTTCCCTTTTGAACCCACACATGTGACATACTTCTCCTGGTATGTCTTGTTTCAGGTTCTTTTGTCCTCGTTGCAGACCACGTTGTGGTTGAGTTTTGGATTTAGAGCTGAACCAATCAACATAAGTCCTCACACGATGTCCCTGGTCCTTCACTTAATTCACCTTGAGTGCACTACCCCAGTGTTGTGGGTTACGGTGGGTGCACTTGTTGGTTGCTCCGCTTCTTCCTCTTGCACTACCCTTGGATGTCTTTATGTCAGTGATGTTACTAAATTTGAGGTGGTTCCAGTCTGTTTGATTAGAGTGGGATGTATGTGTGTGCGTGTGTGTGTATAAATATATATATATATATATATATATTATTTCACTCTACTGACATATACCCTGTTCACAGATCAGTGGTTGGATTTCTCTCTCCGGCCAGCTGAATTTGAGATGAAGATGGTATGACTCCCACATGGATGTCCTACCCTTGCTTAAATGTTAGTTCCTGGCAGTCAAGTTTTGAATGCAGTTGACTTGCCATGTAAGGTCCATTGCACCCTAGCCACTACACATTTTGAGCA